GGTGATGGAAGGAGACTTGACTTTGGGTAGTTAACATACAATACAATATACAGATGATTCATTATAGAATTGTACACTTGAAACCTATAAAATTTTGTTAACTAATGTCACCCTGATAAATTCAATAAAATTTTTTTAAAAAAATATTTCATGTAAGGTGCTAGATACAGCATTTTCAGCATCTTATTCAACGGCACTCTCCTCACTAAGGCCACTTCTCTGGGAGGATTTTTCGTGCTAGCAGTGGCTCCACCCCTCTAGCCAATTATCTTTTTCCCAGGTTAGACTGACAAACAAGCACCTTCCTGGTGAAGTTTTAATAATTTAAACTGATGATAAAATACCAGAAGAGAACATGGTATTGAGAATCTGGAGAAGAGCATCAGACATGTGCTATTTGAATTCCTCCTCATTGCAGCTCATGTATCTTCCTGCAAAGGAAGCCTGGAATAATCCATTGTCAGAAGGTCAGGGAGAAACAAAGGGTGTCATGGAGCAGAGGAAAGGACAGAGGAAGGAAAAGAGAGGCAGGAGAAAAAGAATGGAAAAGGCATTAGAGAAAGTGCTGTTCATAGGAATATCATACACCCTTGTCTGAGCTTATAACTGATGTTTACAATGCTTATTAAGGTTCATTTGCAACAAAGCAGTGGAATAAAAAACGTATATACAGAACAAGGCATCAAAATCGTTCTCCTTTTGGGTGGTCAGCTTGGAATACACAAAAATTTATCCTGAATTACCAGCAAAGGCACGCTGCCCAGCCATGGCTGGACTGCACCCAGGGCAGAGATATATGTGACAAGAGATCAGAGCTTGAGGCCACTAACCTACATCATTATTCCCTGTCATCTGACACCATGTGCCCTTTACATCCTTCTAGCTATATTTAGGCTCCCCGTGTAATTGTTTTAACCTAAAAGCACCATCATCATCGTAGTAGCTATAATCATGACATCACAAATAATAACAGCAATGATAATAACTGGAATATTTTTGACTTGAAAAACATACCATTTTTGACAGACTAATTTCTATATTTCAGAAAGAAAGTAATATATTTTAACATTAAAAAATATTTTCCCTCTTCACTCAATACATAATCAGTTTTCTAGCTTCCTTTACCCTGACCCTTGTCCCCATGGTCACATGTGCATGTGCATGCATGTACACTCACACACACACACACACACACACACACACACACACACTCCATGACCCTTACATCCCAGATATAGACCATACTACCTTGTCTCTATAATTAGTGATCTTCCACTTACAGAACAGTGGAATAAACAAGGATTCTGAGCTCAAACTTATCTGGATTCAAATCCCAGCTTTCTTCTGAGCAAATTGTGCAACTATAACTACCTTGAGTGAGTTTCCTCAATTGGAACGGCTTTATATAAAATATGGTGTCTCACCAAAAATGTGACATAGGGAGAGGTACCGATTCTAGTACTTAAATGGATCGTGACTCTACTTTTAATAGAAAACAAGGGTATTTATGTTATATATCAATTATATCTCAATAAAACTGGGAAAAGTAAAAAATAAGTAAGTACAATTTAAAAATAGAAAATAGGGAGAAACCAAGATGGCGGCATAGGTAAACACCGGAGATTGCTGCCTCGCACAACCACTTCAAAAATACAACTGAAAGACATAACGGACATCATCCAGAACCACAGGAAGGCTGGCTGAGTGGAAATTCTACAACTAGAAGGAAAGAGAAAAGCACACTGAGACTCAGAGGAGGTGCGGTGCAGAAGTAAAATACAAAAAAGTGTGGAGGTGCATGTGGAGAGGGTTGGCGGCTGAGGACACGATTGTCTTTTTCAATCGGGAGGGAGTCTCAGGCTCTGAGCTCCAGTTCCGGGCGAGTCTCTGGGGACCCAGACCCATACGGGAGAAACGGAACTGTCTGGCATCGGTTGGAACTCCAGGGCAGCTTTCTCTCGGAGGCACTCGCAGCGATTGCCGGGGCCTCTGAGAGCAGAACTGAGAGCAGCCATACTGCTCACTCCACCCAGTTGATCCCCTGGAACCCCGCCCCGCCCAAGGCTTGCACGGAGGCTTTTGCATATGAAAGGCCCGGCCCTTTGTAATCTGAAAATAACTTAACAAACTGCAGCTGCCCCAAGGCCCCATGGCAACTTGCATTGCTTTACAGCTGGCTTCTGCTAGGTAGCCTCAGGCAGAGGCTAGATTAGCACCTCCTTAGATCCAAGAGCCAGTGTACCCAGTGGTCAGAGTGG